TCATGCGACAAACATTATTACTCTCATGTGCAGAGCAGGTGGGAAAGTGCTGCCCTATACTGTGTGCACGAGGTGTCACTTGAAGGGATCTCAGAGGTAGTGCTGTGATATCCACTTCCTGCTCTACGATTATGTCTACGCGGCCTCTCGACTATCACGTTGGACGGAAATGACGAAAGGCGAATGATTTAAAAGGAGCGCGCGTTACGCATTAAGTGCAATTTCACGCTGACGAGGTTTGGCACTGCGGGGCGTTACTCGAGGGCCTTACTCCAACGGCGTCGTAAAGCTACTCGGCGCGTTTTCTGCTCGGTACACACATATTTAACGTGCGTCCAAATTGCCTCTAACCATCAGCGAGGGTAAAATATATCAAATCATAAAGCGTCAATAAATAAAAGATTGCATTCATACACAGTACAGGGAACAAATATTGATGGCAAGAGAAAAGCAATGCAACGTGGTGAGTGACAATGGGGTCCCTTAGCGGGAATGGATGGCAACTGCCCATAAAATCTGGTCACAAAACAGCTGATGAGACCCACAATATCAAAACGGGCGGCTTGCGCTGTGGTCGCTCATCCCAGCGATCTCCAGGTTGGGATGTTCCGTGATCCGACGAGATGGGGTCATCAGCAAATCGTAAAACTATACGCCTTGTAACAGACGTCATAATTTCAATGCATTCCGAAGTTTCAAGCTATGTGCTTTAATTTTTTGCACTCCCACGAAGAAAAGCGAGGCACGGAACCTTCTTAAAAAGTAGTAATTCTCTAGATAATAACTCGTGCGTACGACAGCCGTGTGTGCGAAGAGGGTCGCGAGTCTTACACGCGCTCCTTCCCACTTGATGTGCTGGAAACAGCTAGCGCCCGTGTTATTTTTCCACCACATAAGAGAGCGATTGTTCCAATTAACGGCACACATCCCTGTTGTATTAACGCGTCCTGCGCACGGGGGGGGGGGATGGGGGCGACGCCACGGGGGGGGGGGGGGATGCCTCGTCCCACGCCATTCCGCAAAGGCAACCACCGCATTGTGCGTGGGGATGTGACAGGAATGGCGGTGAGCGTCACCCGTGAGTAAAGTTGCGATGCTCACAGACCGAGACTCTGGTGTGCAGACCGCTTGCTGAAGACCAGGTTGGCCTGTGCAGCAGCAGCAGTCGCGGCTAAGACAGAGCAACACCCCCGCGCAGCAGCACCTAATTTGAGCCTCGTCAGTAAAGGACTTGCATGGGACACTGCCTGGATGGACCTGCAGGTGTTGCAGGCTCTGGGCCGCGAGGTGGCAGTACAACATTGGATAAATACATCCATCTGTGCGGAGCTTTGAGTGATGATTCGATGTGTGGAGTTTTCCCGGAGTGCTTTGGGTTTCTCCCCAACACGGTGCTCACTCTCGGCTGGAATGGTTCAGAACTCCGTTCCGGGAATTATCGTGGCACCGCTGCATCCATTTCGCCTAATTGATGCCCTCACGCTACGAAAACCACCGACAACAGCGGCGAGTCCATCCATGCATTTTATAAACCTGTTGATAGGGTTACGGGAATATAGGGTGCAATGATACAGGGTTATGATGGACAAGGAATACCTTACTCTCTCGTGGTAGTGTCTTATGTTGATAATCCCTACTCTGAGCGAGAATTTCGCGTGAGAAGTCCTGCTCTGCACTTGAAGCCAGACACTCAACAACGGAATCGCCCAAACATCTCAATGTAGCAGGACCCCTCCTGATAAAAAAGGTATTGAACCTCAGCGAAACTTTCCCGGGGCAACTAAAGGGGATCATTACTTTTGGGTATCAAGGGCATTCTTCATGAATACGCGCGCAGCGATCCGAGAGGCGGGAATTCGCCACGCTCCACTTTGCCAGCACTCGGGGAGTACCACCGGCAGGGCCGCACGCACTTCCAGCAAAGCGTGCACAGGAGGGCAGGCTCCGTGTGCGAGACGTTCGCCGAGATGGAGCAATGAAGGAAGACAGCCTTGGACGGTAAAGTCTAGAGGGCGAGTTTGTACAGCCCTCGTGCAGTCACGGCTGCAAGGGGGCGAAGGGCGCTTGAAGCAACAAGGTTGCCCTTTACAAACAGCAGATGTGGGAATATGCGATCTTTAAAATGTGGTATTTTCACTCCTGATCCAGGGAGGCATTTTCGTAGCAAGCGTAGAAGCTGTGAGTCACGAGAATGGAAGCAACTGAATAAGCCACTTTTTTGTAGTCAATTAGTCGAGCCGCCTTTAATTGGGCGACCGCCGCCACATCCTGGCTCTCGAAGGCAGGAAACCCCCACAAGCCACGCCCAGCATGGCGTGCCTGGTTATGCAGATGGAGTCACCAACCCTCACCCATCACCTCATCCAGTGCCACACGTGGTAAATTAAAGGAGACTTCATTGCCCAGCTATTTTCATGTTATCCGATTGATCGATAATCGTTAAGAGTGACCCGGCAAATAAGCTCTACGATGAGTAGTAGATGTGGAAGGGTCGTGGAGAACAGCAGGTTCAGAGGTCAGCAGCGAACACTGGGCTAGTGACGAGTTTAGCAAGATCATAATTTATTTAATGACTTCATTACAGAAGCTGCAAGTTCATCAGATGCCTGATGTGGCAACGTCGCCCCCTGGTGTCAAAGATCCGCAATAACGTGTGAATGCGGGCACACCAGGTTAGGTGATTGCGATCACACCAGGTTAGACCAACACGGAACAATTACATTCTCTGAAATGGCTGAATAGTGTGAACAAAAACGTGTTATTGTACATTACTATCTAACATGAGAATAATTATAAAAGGACTGCATAAATTAAATATATTATTTTTAGAACAATTACAATGTTCACCGCTATGAACATATCAACCAAAATTAACGAAGTTCTCAACCCGTCGCTAAAACGTTGTAAGGCAACCGATGTTGTTGTGTGGCGCAGCATGGTGGTGGAGTGCTTTGGGACTCTGCTTCCCAGTGTTAGCACTACGACGCCCGCGTGTTCGTATTGATTTAGTTCCTGTGAAGACGTCACGAAAGGAAAATTTCACATTTCAGTGAATCACATGTTTTAAGTGCTTTTTCAACATTAAAATTACTAACGCGAAAATAAACAAAACGAGACGGCCCAGCGCATCCATAATCCAGCCCCGTTAAACACAGCCTAACGCAATAATTAAACTCTCCCCACGGAAGCTCCCCTTTGGCCACCAATTAGATTGGCCCCCAACTGTAAATCTTTGTAAAGTGAAAATGTATCTAAACATGCAGTGTGTTTAAACTCTCCCCACGGAAGCTCCCCTTTGGCCACCAATTAGATTGGCCCCCAACTGTAAATCTTTGTAAAGTGAAAATGTATCTAAACATGCAGTGTGTCTTCTCGATGGTGTCACAGCTCAGGATATTTGCGTACTTGCGACACCTGCTGCTTCGTGCCTTCCCGCCCGCCGTGCAACCGGTGGCATCAATGTTGTCAATCGTACAACTGGATTCTAACACAGTGCAGTATTTATACGGCGCTATTAAATAAATTCATGTGCAGGTGCTATGGTGAATTATTACATCAAAGGATCAGGAGAGGTTGCACAAAATAATCTCTATCCCAAAGGTCAAGACCTAACTTGCATTAACCCATGTAGGAAAACAACCTTCAGCAGACAATTTTATAACAAAATTCCTTAGTGAAAAGCAGAATTAGTTTTTGAGAACAGTTAAGATTACCACCTGATAATGTAATTACATATCAGGTCATTACCTTTTTGCTTCCAATAAGGAATTTGCATTTGGCCAGCATGGAAGAGTAGGCCAAATACTCTAAAGGAGGCTCTCTCGAGCTCCCTCGAATAGAAATCCTTCCGCCCGCAGCGGCCTGAGCAAGCAATTGCAAGGCTGCTCCTTTAACTTCACGTCAGAAGAAAAAAACTGGCAATGTCGCTGCTGCTACTGTAATGTAAAATATGTAGTTAAGAGTCACAACTAACGCGCATGTGGCTGCGCGTGACAGCGTCTGGGTGACAGTGCCGGGGTGGTGTGAATGCCACGCGAGGCAGTGATGGCATTACTGTGGTAGGGAAGGCTTTAGCCAGATGGCTTTAGTTGTATGGCATGGCACAGACGAGTACTGCATCGGGTCGGGTACCCACCGGTATCCGCGGGTGACCCGCAAAGCTGATCGGAACAAAGCAGGTTTTTTACGGATCACCGTTCTGGCGCAGGTCGGGGACGACACGAACATGACACGACATGAGCACGATCCTGGCCGAGACAATGGCGCATGGTCGTGCCGTGATTGGCATCACGAGAAGTGCTACACTGGTGGTGTGACCACGTGGTGCAAGGGCATGGAACATCACATGGAACAAAATACAAGCGCTGTGTCACAGGGTTTCCTAAACCAAGTCCACAGCCTGTCTTTTAATGGTGATCAATCTCTGCAGCAATTCAAATCAAGTTGTTTCCAGCTGCACGTGCCTAATAATCAGTAAGTAACGACAACCGACATTCGCCACTAAATGGTGGTGACATCACCACGGCACTTGTGCCAGGCTAGGTACACTTTGAGGCCAAGTGGAGCATCGAAGCCTCTCGCTTGCAAGTCTTGCAACAGGCATAAGCGTTAGGGGTTAGCCGAGTGAGATGACAGACATACCACCTGTGCTCTGCACTGCCACAGCAGACGCGGCGTTGGTAAACAGCGCACGCCATCTCCACATGCAGGATCTCGATTTGAATCGGCACACTCTCGCACCACGTGGGACGGGTTACAATCATAAGTCGGATGCAGCGAGTAGTAACAACCTTAAGTGCATTCGAACGAAGATTGGTAGATATTAAAAGACCACGGACAGGCATGAGGACTGGAGTCTGGGAAACCCTGCTGGTGAGATGTTAACTACCTCGCCTGCCATGCAGGAGGTCGTGGATTCGATCCCGAGCCTGACACCTGCTGCTGTATATTTGGAGTTTTAATGTTCTCCTTGTGGTCACTTGGGTTTCTCTCCAGGTCCTCTAGTTTTTCCCTCCACATTTAGAATCAATGTGCTTTTAGAATATTTGGCTGTGATAAATTTCCACATTATAAGTCACTTCGTTGATCTATTATTTGTGGCCGGGTCGCTTCTAAAAAAGAGCTATCAGTGTTTTCTGACTAAAAAGATCACATCAGCAACACGTGCGGACCACAGTAGTTCCTGGCGGACCATTATTGGGTACCACTGGCTTGGTATTGCACGGCTCAGCGCCGGAGATGCCAGTGGAGGAGGGGGGAGGGAGCGGAGCCTGGCGAGCCGCTCGTCAACAATCATGGACGCTTGTTGTAGATGAGGAAGTCGGTGAGGTCGGTCCAGTGATCGCTGTCGCGGTACAGGTAGGTCATGGAGGACTGAAGCGAGGGCTGCAGTGTGTGGCGCTGGTGTTCGAACAGCCACAGCACGCTGCCCCACACAAGGGCCGCGAACAGCGGGAAGGGGTCACGTGCTGGTGTGGGGAGCCAGCCCTTCTCCGAGCCCACGCGCGCCGCCGCAAACAGCACCCGCGACAGCAGGTACATGTTGATCTGGGTACGCGCATGCGGGCACGGGGGAGAGAAAGATGCGCGTTTGTATGTGTGCATGGGGTTAGTGGAGTGGTGGATACGTACGTACGTACGTGCATGCGGGCAGTGGAGACATGAAGGACGTGGGGGTGATGGGGAGCCAGTGGTGTGGGATGGTGAGAAGTGACGGGAGATACGAGCATGAGATGGAGACACGGGTGTGAGGGTGTGAGAGGGAGAGACGCGGGCGTCAGAAGGGCAGAGGTGGGGGTGGCATCGCGAGGCACGGGAGTGGCAGCGTTGTGCGAGACACCCACAAGCGTTGGACGAGAGCAACGAGGGTGCAGAATAGTGAGAGGCGAATGTGGGAGCCGAAGGAGCTGGAGCCAGTCTCGCCTGGCTGGGTCGGGAGCCACAGTCTCACCTGGCTGAGTCAGGAGCCACAGTCTCATCTGGATGTGTCAGGAGCCACAGTCTCACCTGGTTGGGGCGGGAGCCACAGTCTCACCTGGCTGAGTCAGGAGCCAGGCTCACCTGGCTGTGTCAGGAGCCACAGTCTCACCTGGTTGGGGCGGGAGCCACAGTCTCACCTGACTGAGTCAGGAGCCACAGTCTCACCTGGCTGTGTCAGGAGCCACAGTCTCACCTGGTTGGGGCGGGAGCCACAGTCTCACCTGGCTGAGTCAGGAGCCACAGTCTCACCTGGCTGTGTCAGGAGCCACAGTCTCACCTGGTTGGGGCGGGAGCCACAGTCTCACCTGGCTGAGTCAGGAGCCAGGCTCACCTGGCTGGGTCTCACCTGGCTGGGGCGGGAGCCACAGTCTCACCTGGCTGGGGTGGGAGCCACAGTCTCACCTGGCTTGGTCAGGACCTACAGTCTTACCTGGCTGTTGACCTGGTTGTTCTCTCCGAACACGAGCCAACCCCCGAGCGAGGCAGCCAGGAAGGCGTGGACGCTCTTCCTCTGCCCGCCCATCGCCCCGCGCAGCAGAGCCATCGCCCCCTTGTAGAGCAGCACGAAGCAGGCGAGGTTCCGCGAGTGCTGGTACGTCGCTCGCAGGATCGCACGCACTTTCTCCTCCAGGCTGGTTCCAAAAAAAAGGACATTCCCCCGTTATAGCCTTTAACGGACCGTTGGGACGAGTGCAGTTTGAGAGCACCTATTCACGCCGGCATGGCACATGAGGCGGTGGGCGGCCAAGCACCATGCCCGGCTGCCTTTATCTACCCGGTGGTGATGTTTACACGCTGCACCAGGTACTTTTTTGAGGCTGTGTACACCCTAAGGGAGCCAAAGGAGCGGTTCAGATTGCCGTCACCAAATGTTGGCTGTGAGCGGGAGTTGAAATCAGGTCGCCACTGCTCCGCGATGCTCCACGCACGCATGCACGCACCACGGTGCGCGCGGTACATGCCCGAGGGTCATAATTATGGGATAGATTTGTCCTGCTGGTTTGTAAGTGGTTAATTCTCTACTCAGCGGCAGGATCTGCATTAATACAGATTTAAAACATAGCAAGATATCATGGCATATTTCGCTATACCTCACCACACTGGACAGTGTGCATTCGTGATGGTGGGAAGCAGAGACGTTTCAGCATAGTACAGTACAACAATGGCTTTTATCGCACTGCCCTCTGAAGAAAACGTGGCCTAAAGCAGCTAGTTTTTTTTTGTATGCATGGTGGTAACCCATCCAAGCGTTTTCCAGGCTCAAACCTGCTTAGCTTCTGCGAATCTGATTAGGTGCGGTGCGTTCCGGCTGAATCGGTCATGGCGGTGTGCAGCAACGAATCTTTGACGCGGACAAGCGTGGGAGCGCGGTGACGGTGCCGATGGCGGCGTGCGTGAGACCGACGTGGCCGCTGTGACGGTGCGATCGATCTTTGCCGTCACCTGCCGGTCCGAAAGAGAAAGGTCATGACCAGCGCGTGCGGCGCCCGGATCTTCGCTCCGTACCTGCGCCCGTTCGCAGAAGCCACAAGGAAGTTCACAACGTCCGACGCATTATGACAATCGTGTGACCGTCGCCGCACGTCGTAAACACGGCACTGTGCATCTCGCAGCAGAGCCAACGAACCACAAGTCTGCTGAAATTGGTAATATAAACAATGGGAGTTCCATCACATCTGCTTGCACACAAACTGTTATAGCAAACTACTAATAGTTGTTCGTCTCTTAATGGGCGTATTTAACTCTCTTGGTTGAATAAAGAATACAATTCCCTGACCATGTGCTTGCCCTACCAATGCAGTGGCCATTACCATTGCCCTGCCAATATCAGGGATTATTCCCTTACCCTTAACTAATGTATCCCTACTCCTAATCGTTGCCCTTACCCTGGCAGAACCTTACCACCAAAGTCTACCCTTACGGCTATCCTACCCCCAAACTTTAACTTTTCAGCACACCACTTAAAATGCGCTGGTTGAAAGCTTCACATGCCATGCCGGTTATGATAGCTGTTGGAGCATACTTAACCACCCTGGTAAGTGCAGCTATTACCAAGAGATGAATGCGCTACTGCTCAACCACCACTTTCTGTAGCAATGAAAACGTCCTCGAGTCTCGGACTCTTTCAGAAGGGTCCTGCCAGGTTTCTGCAGTAGGGGGCAGCAACACGCGCTGTCTTATACAATCGAGTGAGATATTACATTTTGGGTATTTTTTTTTTACAAATTTAGTCAATTTGGACCGTGACGCCGAGACAAATTGCCTACCCCGACCCGCGCCTAATAATCGCATTTATCCAGCCTCCCGCACTCACACGGGATGTTACCTCCCTCGCCTGCTGTGCAGGAGGTCGTGGGTTTGATCCAGACCCCGACGCCTGCTGCTCTATATTTGAAGTTTGCATGTCTCTCGCTCCGTGGTCATCGCGTGGATTTTTCTCCGAGTTCTCCGTTTTTTCCCCTCCCCATTCAGAATCAACATCACGCGTTTAGAGTACAGTTTTTGTCTGCCGCTATAAATGTCCACGTGGGGATAAGCCACTACGTTGAGCTGTCATTTGAGATCGCCAAGTCGCATCTGAAAAAAAAGAGCTCTATATAGCTCAGTGGGCTTGCCCTGGTAAAACAAAAAAGTGTATTGTTACTAGCTGGAGGCCCCTTTGGTTCGTGTTGACGGTAGTCGCGGGCAGCATTTGGCCCGCGGGCTGCAAAAGTGCAGCAGCAGCGCCCCACCTCTCATTCACCTTCGCCTTCACAGCGTCCTCGAGAACTGCAGTGGGCCCTAGCCGGCTACCCTCCTGAGCAGCACCAGCAGCAGCAGCAAGGAGGAGGAATGCAAGCGGCGTGCGGCACTCACACGGCTCCATTGCGTAGCCCCTTGAGAGCGGCGAGCGCGGGCTGGAGGCGCCTCTGCGCCAGGAGGCGGTTCAGCAGCAGCAGGAGCTCGCGGGGGGCCGCCGGCACCACCATGGCGGCGTGAGTGTGCGCGCGTGACGTCACTTCCTTCTGCACCGATAGCGGGGGGGGGCAGCAGCCCGACACTTCCGGCGAGGGACAGCCCATGTCAGGTCAGAGAGGATTTACCTTTAAAGAGGCTGCACGGACATTCATCACCAGGTAAAGCCCACTGAGCTATATTATACACTCGCTTTACTACCCGGCGTCGCCCGGGACTTGGGTTCTTGGATTAATACACGGCCTACGCGAAGGGTTGGGGGGGGGGATGCGTGACGTCAGCAGGCACACTGCGTGACGCTGCCGCATGCAGGTGACATCACAGATGTGACGTCACCACTCACTTTCCGTGCAACATATATCCATTATTGCGCCCCCCCCCAAAAAAAAAATACAAAGTCTATTTTTATACTTTTTGCATTGTGTAGTCTAGAAGCTACCCACATGCCAAATTTCAAGTTTGTTGCATTTCAGGAAGTATGCTAAACATATTCTTGGTTCTTTCGGTAGTCACGTAGAAGGGAAACAATACAATAATTTAAAAAAAATTATCACGTCGAAACGTCGTGAGAATTTTATTCTTTTATATTTTTATTATTTTATTGTTTCCCTTCTACGTGACTTTACCGAAAGAACCAAGAATATGAATCCCTGCAGTCACATATGCTAAACATTTCGAACAGACACACATTCACAAATTTCCCTTTATATATAGAGCTCTTTTGTTTTATACTCCAGGGGGAATCCGGCGAGCTATCAAGATATATATTTTTTTCTCACAGATGTCAGAACTGGTGGGTCAGGTCATTACAACAACAAACAATACAAACAACACGACAGGTGTCCAAAGTATAAGGTAAACAAAACACTTAAAAATATAACTGAGGCATATACTTATCACAAATGATAGCTCAACAAAGTGGCTTATCATCGCGATCCATGGGCAGATAGCCCGTAGGTGCCCACTGCACATTTCGTCATCCGTCTTCATTTTCCTGTCTTGGGAGTGCCGATATGCTCAAAGCGGTGGTGCCACATCTCTTTCGCATCAATCGCTGATGCGATCAAGTCATTCTCTGCTAGAACTTCCTCTCTTTTTGGTTCCTTCCAATTTTCCGAACGCACTTTAAATACCCCTGTTGTTGTCCATCCAACACGTGTCCAAATAGTGTCAGTGTCCTCATCACAGCCTGCATCGTCTTTGGTCAGGCACCTGTAATTTGGTTGGGAGAGGATTTACCTTTAGAGTTGGTACACGTGGCCGAATGATGTCAGATAGCAACATGTACGTGCAACATATTTACGCTTGAGAACCGAACATGTTTAATACCGTGCCTCTTGATTTGATGACTCCTCGGTTGTCAAACTTATATTTTATTAATATTGCCAATACTTATAATTTATTTAATATTGTCAAAATATGTGCAACAAACGCAAACAATAATCTGGAAATGTATAGATAATTCAAGATACATTAAATAAGTTGAAATCAAAGTATATAAAAATCAAACAGCAATATATCATGGCATACACTGGGTGAGAATAACAACACTACTCAAGACTGACACGAGGTGCCAGCAACGATTACAGCAGTAACCTGACACGGTTTATTTTAAATTAATGCAATTATTAGCCAGAATATTCTTAAAATCCTAGATAAAACAGAAAAGAACCTCACAATACATATTACCTTGGTATTTTGTTACGTAAAAAGCCGATTAATGATATTGTAATAGTATGGACATTAGTGGTTTCTTATATTGTTGCAAATCAACGGCTTCTCTAATAGCAAAAATACAAGGTTTGTCCAATGCACGTCCCATGCATAGTTCCTGGACATTGCACACCTGTGATGTACACCTGGGCTGAGACTCCAAAGGCTTAAAATGCCTAATCTGTCACTCTGTCCCAGGGCAGCAGATACTTTTTATCTGATGACATTTTTTTGCTATTTGTGAAATTTCATCACTTCTGGATTTGTTGAATATTACAGTAACACAATGAGATGGACGGATGGGTATTGAATAACGCGTCTGTGTAAAATACCACACTTCAGTGTTGACAAATACACTTGATCATGCACTGTAATGTGTTAGGGTTCATAATGGATGTATTGGGCTTTGCATTTGCCTTGTGCTATGCCTGCACACAAGCCTTGAGGTACAGAACTACAGTACAGATTTTTTTTTATCATCGCCCATCACCTCAACAGTAAAGATGTGCACCACTTTGCGTGAAGTCGCCAGTGGTTGCCCTTTAACACATGATCCCGCCACGCAAATATGTAATTCCAAGGCCCCGAAAGATTACCAGACTGCTCATCTTTCATTTGAGCCACGCGACACTTGTTATTGGCGATTTCCACGTTATGTATGTTGAGAATTGTACATTTTTCCCTTTCGTTACATCGTGTACCCGTTCACGCCACGCAGCTGGCCTGCCATCAGAGGTTTTGCTTACATTCACACGCACCTGCGTGGGATTTTGTGCTGGGGAAGGTATTGATTTTGGGTGGAGACTCGCACTGGATCAGCAGAAGGAAGCGTGCGCGCACACAGCTCGTAAACCTCACGCCACGGGCCCCGTCTTGAGCTTGGAGACACTCGGTCACTTGCAGTCTTGGAACCATTTCAGTGTTTTGTGATGTGTGTTTTGGAAAGTTAAAAGCGACGCATGTTTATAGCGGAGTGTTGTTTTTCAAGCTGTGCACGTTGTTTTGAAAACCTCTTGGAAATGCAAATAGTTTGCGCCTCTTGAATGTCAAAAATGTCACTAAGTCCACACGTGTTGAAGATGAGCACATTATACACCTGTTTGTAATTTACAGGGTATCGATTTTCATGTTTGACAAATGTTTTACTGCCCTTTTAAGGAAGCCAATATCTTCATCAGGCCAGGTGGTGTAAGAGCCATCAAGTCAATCACAAATTTGCAAGGTCAAATCTCGGGAGGTAGACTCAGCTTATCATTTCCATGGGGCGGGTAAAACATACCCCACATTTTGTAAATATAGTGGTTGTCCTATGAAAAAGATTGGAATTTGAAATGTAAAACTGCCTCAAACATCGATGGTAATTGGTAGTTTAATGAGACAATTGACTTGGCTTTGTAGAAAAATCCCTCCTGGTTGGACTACAAACCAATGTACTGCCAGAAAACAGTGTTTGATCGGAATTTTTTTGTTACCGATAAAGCAGAAAAGAACAATAAACAGCATCCACTCTCCCCACAGGCATGCTCAGCACCACGTGGTGAGGTGCGACCTCACAATCAGCTCACCTTTCACATCAACTTCGCAGCTCAGCATGGCTACATTAAGGAGGCAATGCAAGCCAAGTATGTGGTACAGACACATTCTACTTCGTAGTTTCCTTCCATTTATTTCAAGCACCATAGGTTTTTTTGTTCATAAATGATTTTGAAACACAGTGTGAGGACGCAATTACAGAACATGGACTGACTTATCAAATGTATAGCTTTCCAGTGATTAGTGACAGAATATGCACAACAAGGTTTATTTACAAGTACAATCTGTTTATAGCTTGAGTGACATATATACAGTACACACATTTCGTATATCGTGGTATTGAATTAAACATGTGTATTGTACGTTGGGTTGCCCTGCTTTGTGCTCAGGCCTGTCGAATCTTGTGGCCACCGACAGAAGCGTCTTTGGGTCCACTCCCTTCCGTCGTCTTTTGCTCATCCCCATCATCCTTCGAGCCAATCACTACACTTGAGCAATAGTGTATGAAACTGTGCAGGCGAGCCTGTGTTAAGAATATAAACCCGTCGGACTCCATGACGGTCAAGATATGGCAGAACAGAATGTAGATTTGGTAACCCGTCTATAGAGACTTTTAAGTGTTATTCTCCCCTATGTGTGAGTTGTGTCCAGGTACTCAAATTTCTTCCTATATGCATGTGTAGTGACATATATGGGGTCACTACGGCAGTTCCAAGAAGAACCAGGGTGTAAATGGTCCTCTCTGTCAGCGGCGTGTGCTGGGGTACCAAGGAGAGTCCATGAGGGGCATGACTCTGGTGAATGCAGAGAGGGGGCATGGGAGGACGAAACAGTCTGGATGAACCCGAGAGGGCATGTGACCGGACAGAAGAGGTAATGCGACACGTGGTGTAGGGTCCTCGTTCTCCTGGTAAGATCCAGAAGGGGGCGTGATCGAGGGCGGAGCCAGGCCACACTGAGGGGCATAAGAGACGAGTCCAGAGAGCGATAGGGGCTGCTGTCTTCTGGGAATCAACTCGCTGTCTACGTCTCTTCGGTCTCCGGGCTTTGGGGCTTGTTAGTCGTGGACCAAGCAGGGTGTTAACGGACCTGGTCTGGTTATATAGTTACCTGTGGTGGTTACCGCTATGTAGTATCCCGTTGTATGGTTAGGTAGTGGACCAGAGTACAGAGTTAACTGTGTTGTACGTTATGTAGTGACCCTGTTGGGGTCTAGCTAGCTACGTTGTACGTTTAGGGAGTTACCCAAGTGTGTGTCTCAGTTAAACCACTACACATGCACTCAATACAAATAAATTGGCCAATTTTTCCAATGCAGGACCCTCCTGAATGAATTTCGAGACTTGGTGAGCGTTTCCTGGATAAAGATAATTTTTAAAATGCATTATATGTTCAATCTGCTTTATAATTAGAAAACGTCTTGTGATTAAACACTTAAAATACAACTACCAGTATAATATTAACTGCAATCCCTCCAGTGTTAGTTATGTATTAAAATTTACAAATACAGTGGCTTGCTATACCATTTGTACTGACACTTCATAGCCTAAGATGAAATGTAAAGAATATAAAACACAAGGTTCAATGTATTTAAACAACGCATCACATTATCACACAAGTCCATGCCACATCTGCTGATTTCACATCATCTAGTTTTACTCTGCATCTATAGCCTTCTGTAGCCAATAGCTGTCACACTTAGCAGTGTTCAGTGACCTTCAATCATGTTAAGTGACTCTTGCAATGTAAACATTTTGACAGAATATACACTTTTGGCAAATAAATTAGCATAAAAAATACCAATATGTTCATGAATACATTTAGTTAATGTTACATCAATGTGAACAGTGAGTGCTTTTTTCAATGGATATTGGTATCTGGCAATAGAATGTAGAATTACCACCACTTCTTCTCTCAAAACTGCTCTAGAGGAATCACTTACTTTATTATGCTCTAGAGGAGTTGTACACCCCTAGCTGCCGCTGCTATTCATTGGCGTAAAATAAAATAAAATGTTTCGGTCTGGATGACGCTGCAAAGTATTATCTGTATTTTGATTTAGCGTGCTGATCTTAAAGGTGCATTGAAAAATTTGATACTCCGACCGATGCTTCTGTTGTTGTGGAGTAACTCATGCAGCCAGCTATGGCTCTAGGGTTTGGTGTTACATGTTATTTATGTAGTTTATTGTAAAAATTCGGTCATAGTCCTTGTGATCAGTGTTACGTTGCAATTATGGCTTTATTTTTTGGTGATTTGGAAAAGTTTTTTGGTTTGGACATGTTTGTTTTGTTGTAGTACGGAGTTAGACTGATGGCCTTAATCTAAGTTTTTGTGGTTGTTGTTTGACTTGCATCCCACTGGGATTTTTTGCACACAGCGTTGGTGTACGGTGCTTTTTTCAGGAATATTTTTGCTGTGTTTTTTCCATGGATTTTCTGTTTGAACAGTCACAGTCACTTTAAGATGTTTTTCTTGTTCGTGTTTTTGTTTTTTTGTTTGTTGTGGTTGTACCCGATTCAAGAGCCGGATGGCTCGCAGGGCTATACCAAAATAAACTGAACTGAAACTGAACTGAACACTTGCACAATGGAGAAGAGTACCACACCAAACTCATTAAAGCAGAGACAATGACAATGTTCCAAATTAGTGCTGGGGGTTAAGTGGACTTAGCAGCACCTGTCTCTACAAACCTTGACTGTAATCAGTAAGAGGGTAATTTAATCCTCAAATGTATTCAATTGAAAAATACCAGTCTCGGGCATATAAGTGCTTATTCATTTAGCTTTCTTCGTTCATAATACATCTTTATCTTCACATTATGAACCCAAAGAGAGTCTTTACTAAATCATAAGTGTAAATACAAGAGCTGAGAATACTACCGGTCTCGTTGGTAGCTCATTCACCTGCTCGTGTCAATGACTATATCACACAGCCAAGCAAGTGTGTAGGTTCCATCGAGCAGTAGTCAACACAAAGATCCCCCGTCTAGCATGTAACAAACTGTTGGGGCAAGTGCTGTTATCGGGCATCGATGAAGGCTGGCCCGGCACACGAGAGGGTGAGTGGCCAGCACCACGCCCGACCGCCTTTGTCTCCCTAGTGATGAGGTTTACACATCACACCAGGTACTCATTTGAGGCTGAGTCGACCTAGGGTAGGCCCGGGACCGTTTCCAATAATCGTCACTAGTATTGGCAGTGAGCGGGACTCGAACTAGGATCGCGGGGGTTCGTAGCGCAGCGCGCTAACTGCTAAGCTCCCAGATCCACACCCTCAACCTCACCCCCTGCCACTGCTACACCAAAGGGCCATCATAATAAGTTGAGGCCAAGCACCACAGACACTCTGAAAGGTAGTCTTAGAGCAAATTCACTTCTATTTGTGAGACATACAGTAGTTACATTATTTTGTGCATAAGACCGTACTCACCCACATGACAACACATTTTAGCTAACTTATACAAAACTACGACTCTGAAGACCATCATTGTGTGTGTGGCAGAACTTCTTTGGAGATTCAAATCCCATTGAGGAATTATTAGGAAGTCTACATCACTCCAGTGTCTCACAGGTCTTAACATTCACCAATATAAGTTGTTGCAAGTAGTCTTGCTCAAATTATACACAGAATCTGTTATTTGTGGCCGTGGAACTCAGACATAAGAACATTAGAGTACATGGAAATGCTCTTCTTTGCATCGACGCTGCTCAAGGGCACAGACAAGCATGCCAACACTACCCGCGAGAGCTCGGGAAATCTGTCAGCAAGCTTCCTCCAAAACATCACTGGTTCCGATGGCACAAACTCACCAAGATTATCCAAGTATGCGATGAGCTGTGCGATGCCAGCGATGTTGTCTTCCAACAAAGGAACCGCATTGCATATTTCCCCCGAATCCATGAGCAGCTCAACGGCCTTGGCCGGATCGAACATTCGGCAGGCGGCCAGGAAGCGTGCCGCCGGCTGGGTAAACCGGCACGGACTCTCGAATTCCACATACTGGCACAGGCGTGTCGCCATGGCAATCAGGGCATCGGCAGCCACCGTGCAAGCCACCTCCGCCTCGCCCTGCGCCCAGAACGCGAGCTCGCGCAGGTCGTCCACCACGCAGGCCGACGTGCTCCGTGCCAGCTCATACTTGGCGAGCATTTGCCTCACATGCCCGCCGTACCTGTCCAAGACATCGAGCTGCTCCTCAGTGTTGCCGCTCTGCGCCAGCTCCACAACTTCCTCCACCGCGCTGCTCCCGCTCGTCTGCTGCTCGCCCTGGAAAAACTCCGCGTAGTCCTGCAGATGCAGGCGGTGGTAGGAGGCCGACTCGAACCAGGAACTCCAGCGATTTGGCTGTACGGCAGGTGGGAGAGTTGGCTTCATCCCCTTCTCCTGCAGGAAGTTGCGGAAGCGGGCTTTCCGCGCGGGGCACGCTGAAAATGATTTCTCGATGGCCACGATAAGCTGGCTAACTTCGTCGAACGCATTCTGCCAAATCTCGCCCACGATGCTCAATATGTGTGCCGCACTGGTCACGTGGACGGCATTTAGGAAAATAGGCTTCAGGCTTCTCTCCCACGCCTTGTACATGTATGCCGCATGGTCGGTCACAAACGCAGAAACTTTGGTGGGCTCAATGTTCACCATCTGTGTTGCCCGCAGCACAGCTTCGCTCACCGTTTTGAAGTTGGTTATCTCAAGCAGACAGCACTCAATCAGATAGGCCTCCAGCAGCGGTTCAATGCTTTTATTGGCACTGTTCCTCGGCCCTTCCACCGACAGGCTTGGCACTGCCAGAATATTGAGCATGTATCGATCCTCCTCATCGGTCGTCTCGTCCACTACGATAGCCACATTGTGGCAGCGGCCGAACTTCTCCGTGAGCTCCTTCACATGCAACTCGTACACTTTCTGAGAGTACATGTTCCGCAGGACGGATGCCTCCGGAAGCACACCAACCTTTTTCACGTTTTGCTCTAAAAAGGCATGCAGAGCCGGATGGTCTATTTTACCGATGGGAATGTTCGCTTCGGCAAACGCTTGCACGAGCTTGAGAACGGGCTCCAGGCGATTGCTACTACGTTGCGGCTGGGGAGCGACTTCGGTTTTGACCACTCGAGGCTTCTTAGACGGCTTCTCCTCGCTAATGGTGTACAGGCCGAGGCGGCGTCGATGTTTGGCCGTTATGAGATGCTTCTCCAGGCTGGCTTTTCTGGTGTGATCCACGGGGATGTTACAGGAGCTGCAGATGAGCTGCTTCCCGCTGGCGTGAAAGACTCCGCTAAATTCACGGGCTCGATCTTCCGGAGTGATTCTCACAGACGTTTTGGAAGCCGGTTTTGGCATCATTTCTGCATGGGCTCACTGGAAAGCTGCTAAACAAAACACAAACACATCGTGTTAAATGTGGCTGATATAAGCACGTTATTCATTTGTGCTTCTTGTACTCTATGTTGTTATTAAACTATGAAGATAAATTTAACACGAAACAATTTTAAAATGAGATTTAACTACCATACAAATGTTTTTTTTTTATATTCGGAAACAAAATATAAAGTGTCTGATATAATTAACAAATTATATAAGCAATAAATTATATAGTTTAGAAAAACATCAAACAATAACTCAAAGCCATTACACTAATACAAATATATATTTACTGTATTCTTTGGGTCTTTCGGTAAAGTAATGTACATAGGTACGAATTAATAAAAATAATACATATAAAATCAACAAAAAACTACAACGTTTCGATCACAACACAAGCGATCGTCATCAGGAGGAAAGAGGGGGAAAGCTGCTGAATAAAGACTGTTTTATAGGTTTAAAATGGGTGTAGTCCTTGGGTCATAAACGAAGTGGGTGGGGCTAGTAATGTTAATGTGAGAGATTTGCATGTTAATGTTAGATCGCAGAGCCACCGCGACGTCGAGGTCGGCGTTCGGAGGTGGCCACGTTGGTGCGAGAAATTCAACCTGTTAATGTGAAATCGGAGAGCTGAAGCCACGGGTAAATATAAAAAAAAAATTACATCAGAAGGTGACAGGATGGGAACATCACAGCCAGCTATGACTTAAACTGGTTGATGAGATCTTTCCAATGATTGCTTAGTTTGTACCCATCCTCTCGGTGGAAATTGTGTCTGTGCCTGTATATATGGATGGCTTCATGAACGAATCTTTGTTGATAGCCATTGGGCTTACAAAGTACCTTCGTCTTAGAGAAATAAATTTCGTGTGAGCCAACCGCATTTAAACAATGATCAGCCACGGCCGACGTGTTAGTCCTACCGTGTTTTAAATCTGCCTTATGCTCACGAACACGGTCCGAGACATGTCGCTTAGTTTCCCCAATTTAACTACTGCCGCAGACACAACTTACTTTGTAGACGCCAGGGTATTGCATATCAGGGATCCTATCCATCACAGATGGGATCAGATCACAAATTTTATGTACTGTTAAATCGAGCCTCGATATTGTGTTTGCTCGAGATTTTGGAAATATTTTTGGTGACCCCTGCTATGTATGGCAAGGTGATGGTTTTGATTGGGTCCTCAGATGGTTCTTTCCCAACGGTTGGGGTGGTAGCTTTACGGATTGTGTAGTCCGAATATCCATTCATCTTGAGAGCTTAAGGCAGATTTGAAACACGGTCGGAACAACACGTCGGCCGTGGCTGATCATTGTTTAAATGCGGTTGGCTCCCACGAAATTGATTTCTCTAAGACGAAGGTACTTTGTAAGCCCAATGGCTATCAACAAAGATTCGTTCATGAAGCCATCCATATATACAGACACGGACACAATTTCAACCAAGAGGATGGGTACAAACTGAGCAATCATTGGAAAGACGTCATCAACCAGTTTAAGACATAACTGGCTGTGATGTTCCCATCCTGCCACCTTCCGATGTTAACTTTTATAATTTTTTCCCCGTGGCTTCCGCTCTCCGATTTCACATTAACAGGTTGAATTTCTTGCGCCAACGTGGCCACCTCCGGACGCCGACCTCGACGTCGCGGTGGCTCTGCGATCTCACACTAACACGCTAATCTCTCACATTAACACGCTAATCTCTCACATTAACACGCTAATCTCTCACATTAACACGCTAATCTCTCACATTAACACGCTAATCTCTCACATTAACACGCTAATCTCTCACATTAACACGCTAATCTCTCACATTAACACGCTAATCTCTCACATTAACACGCCAATCTCTCACATTAACACGCCAATCTCTCACATTAACACGCTAATCTCTCACATTAACTCGCTAATCTCTCACATTAACACGCTAATCTCTCACATTAACACGCTAATCTCTTACATTAACACGCTAATCTCTTACATTAACACGCTAATCTCTCACATTAACTCGCTAATCTCTCACATTAACACGCTAATCTCTCACATTAACACGCTAATCTCTCACATTAACACGCTAATCTCTCACATTAACACGCTAATCTCTCACATGAACACGCTAATCTCTCACATTAGCACGCTAATCTCTCACATTAACACGCTAATCTCTTACATTAACACGCTAATCTCTTACATTAACACGCTAATCTCTCACATTAACACGCTAATCTCTTACATTAACATGCTAATCTCTCACATTAACACGCTGATCTCTTACATTAACATGCTCATCTCTCGCATTAACATGCTAATCTCTTGCATTAACATGCAAATCTCTTGCATTAACATAGCCATCCGCGCACTCGTCGCGGAGGCCGCTCTGCGATCTAACATTAACATACTAATCTCTCACATTAACATTACTAGCCCTGCCCACTTCGTTTATGACCCGAGGACTACACCCAATTTAAACCTATAAAACAGTCTGCATTCAGCAGCTTTCCCCCTCTTTCCTCCTGATGACGATATTTTGTGTTGTGATCGAAACGGCGCTGTTTTTTGTTTATTTAATATTTCTTATTTTTATTAATTTGTACGTGACTTTACCGAAAGACCCAAATAATATGAATTCCTGCAGTCACGAAAGCTTTAAGTCAAGATATATATTTACTGATTATCAATGTGTTTTTTTAAGTTACTTTTTTATGTAAAAAACTAATTCTGTGATACAGAGAACTTATTCGAAAATTAGAATAAGTCACTGGGGATGACCCATTCACTTCGATGTCATTGTCAACATATGGTCTCAATGAAACCGTTGCCATGAACCAGTAGCTTGAATGCAGTTTAAAATAATTTGGTTGCCAAGAAACCATTGCTAGGAAACAGTCTCCAAGATGTAGTTGCTAAGATATGGTTACTAGGGTATAGTGGCAAGATCAGATTGCCTGGATCAGGTTGCCAGGATATGGTTGCTGGGAGATAGTAGCTAGCAGTAAGGGTGACAAAGTGTAATGCCCAAACTATCAATCTTATACCAACTTCACAAGTGGATATCAAACATAAGAGTGGGGAGTTAAGAGCTGTATGCGCACAGTTTGTGATTTCAGATTATATTTAAGTTTTTTTCAAGGATACTTTGCTGTAAAATATGCATATTCCTGCACTTATAGAATGACAGATGTTAGATAAAGAATTCCACTATTTTGCTTCCACTAACCAGCTAGTTTATGCTGCAAAAATGTACAACCCATTTAAAAATGATTCGATCCATACGCTATGAGCAGCATAAATGAATACTGACCGCCAATTACATATTCAACAAAAAAACACTTTATAAATGCATTCCGTATAATGTGTTGTATTTTTGACATTATTATATCCGGTAACACTTATGTTCATTTTCAAACGCAGAGCATTCATGCCACACAAACAAAAGAGGTCATGATAATATAGCCTATGTCCAAGACATGGTATCATACACACAGATGTAATTTCACTGTATATATGCTGAATTAAACCTAAATTAGTGAAATGTAAGTTTGTAATGCTGCATGCTATTTAACATGATTTATTTGAACAAAGCATATGAGATTACACAAATGTATTTTATGTGTGTGACTACAAAACTATACTTTCATTGCATGCATATACACAGCTCATACTGTTGTTTTAAACATATACCACATATCACAAGCAGATGTACAAACATGGGCGCTTCGAACATTTTGAGGAAATTATATTTTTAATCACACACGTCACATTACAGTATTTCCGAAGAAAAAAAATAACATCAATGCACCCAACTCTATTATTCCATTGTACACCCATAATGTACTGTATACGAACACCACATCCCTTCATATATACAGTGTGTACACATATAAATCTGTCATTTGTGAATCTATTTTCCCTAGCACAATGTCACTTATATCACGAGGGGTTGAGCATAATGTGCAGAGGTCACGGTCTGTCTGTCCATGTGTCTGAGTGAGCACATCTAGGCCAAATTGGATTACATTATCTGCCTCTCCCTACAACCCCAGCGGCAGAACCCCCCCCCCCCCTACACCACACCCAGCCCCCCCAGCATTGGCAGTGCACGGCTGAGTGCTGCAATGCAGCGGGGCGTGCGGCGGTGGCACGAACGCAAAGCGCGACGCACCGTGCATGCGTAAGCAGCCCCCTCTGTGCACGACGTGAAACCTCTATTAGTGCTCTCTCTCTCTCTCGCCGATCGATACGGTATATAGTGCAAATGACAGTTGCCAATGTGCAATTTCTAAGGATTTATAAATACATAGCTTGAGAGACAGTGCTCGGAAGATATTAAGGCCTCAAATTCTCTGACTGAAAACTAAAATGCATCGCAGGCTAACTTGAGAAATATATATTTTAATCCTCTATCGTCACGAATAATGTTGCTTATATAAAATACAGTAGCCAGAAATGTTCAACAATGGCCTTCTTTGAATAAAGCTCAGGGCCACTGCTTGAAACATTCATCCTACTCTGTATGTTTACGTAGTATGGGAGCGTTAATGGAGACATAGTTTAGCGTATGTAAGCAACACTGCCCCTTTACATTTAAAATTTAATATGGTTGTTTTAATATCAATATAAATGGGACCAGACACATCATACACCGAGAAATGCAGTGGCTCAATGGCATAAACTACTCCAGATGGGTTAACGCTGAATATTTTAGTATTTCTAACGCAGAATGAAACACATGCACCAGCAGGGATCGCATGGAATAGGTATACAGCTACCTCTCGTTTTACACGGCGGTTGTGTTCTTGAAAAATGGCGCGCAACTCAAGATCGTGTAAATTTAACTTAATTTTCCCATAAAAAAATCAAGGCAATGGTTGGGTTAGGGAGTGCATGCTATTGAACCTCATTCTTACATCTACATTTTTCACTGGTTACAGTACATATTTTAATTACTACCATGCATGTATTAAATATAGTAACAGACTATTTAAAATAAAGAAAATCAAGT